TTTTATTAATAAAAAACAAATTTCTCATGAGCAGCAGCTGCCTGAGGCCCGGTCGCCTCTTGGGGGTTTCCCCCTACTGTTGGGGCGGCTGGAAGTAGATGTTAGCGTTTTTCAGGCATGTGGCACAAACTGCAGGCAACAGGATAATAAAATCGAACATATTTTGTCGGCAGGTTTCTACATTTTAAATTGATTTAGGCGTTAATAAACTGTTTCAGAGGAGTGATCATAGCGCTCTGCATCAGCAGTGCTGTGTCTGACTCCCTGCCAGCTCCCTGATCAGCTTCGTCCAGCAGCCAAAGTTCAGTTTTTCCAACTCAAGACTGCTGCTTGTGAAGCGCGTCATGCGCCTCAGATGCTCATGAGGTGCAGCTTCAGCTGCTCAGGTGTATGAATAGGTGCTGCTCCTGTAACTCTTGATGCCCTACAGGACCTTTTGATGCGCCTTGTTGAGCGTCAACCATAGACTGTGCCTGTAAAGCGGCTGCTTCAGCTGCACAAAGCGCATGTGGTGTGAATGTAGCATGACAGTGGGCAGACAGAGGGGAGGTTCTCCTAATGAGACTCAGATGAGACGAAAAAAGTGATAATTCATTCAGAACATTCATATCTTTCTCATACTTTTTCTATAATAATGGAGCTCTGGTTTTTATAGAAATGTCTGTTTTTCATTCTTTTTTCCGCCATCTTTGCGTGCTAAGCCAGCGTGTTTGACCAGGCTCCCATTGTTTACACCCGAGACCAACTGCTCACCCTACGGCGCTCTGCTGTACTGGAAGAGACATCCGGGTTGGAGTCAGACCAAATCGTCGGGGAAGGAAGTACAGACCAACCACCCCGTCCGTCACCATCGGCAACGTCAGATCTCTGTCTAACAAGGTGGACGAGATGGTGGCCTTAACTTAATCAAAGACGCTACCAAGAGGCTAGCACCCTGTGCCTGTCATAGACGTTGCTAACCGTGATGACCCCGGACTCTCATATAAACAAGGACGGATTTCATCTACTTGGGACCGACAGAACCAGGGAGGGTGATAAGAAGAGAGGAGGGCATCTGGCTTTGTTTGTGAACAATAGCTGTTGTAACTCTGAGCCATTAAAGACACTGTCTGCAGCTAGGACATTGAGCTGCTAGTAGTTAGCATGAGGCTAAATTAACTACCCCGTAATCTACACGTTATTGTGATAGCTGTGTATGTCCCCCACCTTGCTAATGCAGCAGCAGTCTGTGATGTCCCGCCACCACCAGCAGACTCCAAACACAGCACCCACAAGCTCTTTTTCTGATCTCTGGGGACTTCACCCATCTGTCCCCGTCTTCCACCCTTCCCTCAATCACACAGTATGTTCACTGCCTGACCAGAGACTATTAAACACTGGATCTACTGTATGCCAACACTAAGGGGGCATACAGCTCATCACCTCCCCCTCACCTGGGGAGCTCTGAGCACAATCTGGTTCATCTCAAACCCCTGGTGCGCAGCGAACCAGCTGTGAAACGCAGTAAAGAGATGGTCTGTGGAAGCTGAAGAAGCTTTGAGGGACTGTTTCTCCAATACTGTGTGGGAAGCTCTCTGGGCTCCTAATCGACAGGACATCAATAGTATCACAGCCTGCATCACTGATTACATTTACTTCTGCTTGGACAACACTGTGCCTCTCAGAAAGATTCCCCTTTTCTCCAATAACAAACCCTGGATCAAACCTGAGATAAAGGCACTTCTGAAAGAGAAGAGGAGATCCTTTAGATCAGGGAACAGGGAGGAGCTGAGAGCTGTGCACAAAGAACTGAGGAAGATAATCAGGGATGGGGAGAACAGCTACAAGAACAAGATGGAGGATCAGCTGCAGCAGAACAACATTAGAGCGATCTGAAAAAGCCTGAAGAAAATCTCAGGCCAAAATCAGAACACACAGACTTCTGGAGACCTGAAGTGGGTTAACGACCTGAACCAGTTTTTCAACGGGACGATCAGCCACCCACTCCTCTCCCAGCCCAGAACCCCCTACTGTTACCTTCAGCTTCTTCAACGAATGAGTACTTCACACCTCCCAGCTCACAACCATCACCCAACCCCCCCACTCCAAAGAATTCCATCACACAGCCCACCCCTCCCCCGCCATCTTGTCGCTAAGACAACACACGTGAGAAAGGAGCTGCAAAAGATCAAAGTACCAAAGGCTGTGGGTCCAGATGATGTCAGCTCCGGGTTTCTGAGATGTTGTGCCGACGAACTGTGAGGCATCTTGTGCAACTTCAGCCAGAGGCTGGGAGAAGTTCCACAGCTGTGGAAGACCTGTTGTGTGGTACCGGTGCCAATGACAAAACATCCACAGAACCTCAGCAGCTGCAGGCCAGTAGCGCCGACTTCACACCTGATGAAGACTCTCGAATGGTTGGTCTTACACCATCTACACCGCCTGGTGAAGACTTCATTGGATCCAGTGCAGTTTGCCTACCGTCCTGGGATTGGGCCAGATGATGCCATCATCTTCCTGCTGCACCAACTTCTGACTCCCCTAGAGAAACCTGGAAGCACTGTGAGGATCATGGTCTTTGATTTCTCCAGTGCTTTCAACACCATCCACCCAGGAGTCCTAAGGGCCATGCTGGAGCTGTCAGGAGTGGACCAGCACATGTCCCAGAGGATTTTGCACGCCCACAGTATGATAGGGAACAGGGCTGTGTCTCGGATCGGTTGTTCTGCAGTTGTTCTGTGAGGGTTTGGTTGTGGTTTTTGAGAACCCACATGCAGTTTTAATTAATGCTAAAAGTTAATAGAGGAAGGAATCCAAAATCCAACTTAAAATGTAACACAAACCAGAACCATGGAGACATCTGGGGAAAACAATCACGAGGAGCCAGGATAAGACGAGGTAAGTCAAGGAACCAGCACCGAGGAACTGCACAGGGAGAGTATTTAAGTTTGACTGAACAAAGGGAGGACTAATGAGCTGATTGGGAGCAGGTCTGAACAGAGGCTTCTACTAAAGAGCTAAGGAAATCAACACAATAGGGCAACAAGGAAAAGCCAAAGAACTCAGATATATCCAGAAAACACAGCAAAATAGGAATTAAACCAATAAAACTAGAAAACAAACAAAGTGAAACTGAATACTCATAAGAAAACTTAATAGAACCAACACCGTGACAGAATCAATCTGACTGGATGATCTGGTGAACTGTAAAGTGCTTTGCGATTACATAAACTTTGAATTGAATAAAAGAATATCAAACAAAAATACTTTTATCCACTGCATGAAGTTTTACCTTCAGCCCATCAAGCATCTACATTCCTCTGTTTTATAAACCCTTTATGTCTCGGTATCTAAAGCCCTGGAGGCTGATAAAATGACTATTTATTTACTACATCGTGACAAGCATGATAAAAATCCAGACCATCAGTATTTGTATTTTGCAGTGCAGAGAGAAACCAGGGCAGACGTAAAACAGGAGGGAAACCCCTCTCTCCTGGGCTGCACATAAATAATGTGGGCTGAAAAGTACGGCAGCCTCTGAAGAAAATGTAATCTCATTAAAGCTGTTATAATTCACACCAGGGAGAGCACAGCTGATCCGAGCGCTCGCAGAAAATGGGCAAATTAACAGATCTATTAGGGAGAGGCAAAAATCCTGCTCTGGTGCATCTTCAGCAAACAATTAAGTAAAAAGTAAGGTTATTTTTAAACAACCTTTATTGATTTATAAAATGTATACAGTTTCATTATAGATTAAAAGTTAAAGGTTTAGTGGAGGATTTTCTTTTTCCGTGTGGATCATCTAAATCAGTGGTTCTCGTAACTGTCAATCATTCTGGTGATATGTTTACATAAGGCCGTCCTACGTGCTCGTCCCCATTTTCAATTACCAGTGGTAAGTCTGACATACTGTATACCCCATTTACACTACCCTGGAAAAACCATGCCGAGACCGGTCTGAGCTTGGATCACTTAACCAGGCCGAGCTCGGTTCTGACGACCGTTTACACATCACGCTATCTCGGTTCCTCGACTCCTACTGCCAGTATTGAAGGAGGAAGTCAAGCAGTTGGTGGCGGTAATGTAGCAAAAGTTGTTGCCAACTGCTATAAAACACAAGAAGAAGAAGACGACGAAGAAGGAGGGAAACAAGCAAATCAAAATAGCGGCGTCCATCACATTCAGAAAGTTATGCTTGATTATTATTGCTGTACTTTGGTGTTATTATTTAAAATGCTGCGTGGAGAAGATTTTGATTGTTGTTTATAGTTGTTCTTCTTCTTCTGTTTTGTGTTGGTTGGAAAGCAACTTCCGGAGGGGCATTACCGCCAACTACTGGAATGGAGTGTGAATCGCGATGTGTAGCCAGACGGAGATGACGCATTCTGCTCATGCGCTCTTGTTATCAGAGAACCTAGCCAGTTAAAAACCGAGCCGAGCCCACCTCTGGAACTGGTCTGCTGTTATCTCGGTTTGGTTGTTTCTAGCTCGGTTCAGTTCAGTTTGCTTCCCATTTACACACGATACGTTATCTCAGTTACTGAGCTCGGACTGGTCTCGGCACAGTTTTTCAAGGGTAGTGTAAATGGGGCTATAGTGGAATAATTGCAAAACCTTCTTTTGTAAAAGTATCTTGTATGAGCGATGCAAACAGCAACAGCTGTTTTTTTTAAAGGTTACTTTATACTTTTATACTTTAAGTAGTTTTTGGAGCACATACTTTTACTTGAGTAAAGAGGTCAAGTTGATAGTTCAACTTTTAAACTGCAGTATCTATACTTCTACTTAAGTAACAAACTGATATAGAAATATATATATATGTTCAAGCTCTTTATGAAAGAATACTGCTATGAATATATGATTACAATTTTCAAATCTGCCTAAATAGGAAATTTAGACGAATACGGCACGCTACCACATGCATTGAAGGGTAAAAGATGTGTTCTTATTTTAAAATAAGGATGAAGCAGCTTGGTTATTCTTGTCATCTAAGGAGGAAGCAGAATATCTTGGATATTTACCGGCATATTCTGGGTCCACATGAGGAGGGTAGAAGCGAAAGTTGATGAAGAAAGGAATTTGCATCCCATACTTGAACCACTCCACCACATAGGGCTTTCCGTTCAGGGGGTGAGGCACGTCGCATCCCAAGATGACACTCTCTCCTGCGCGTGCCGTAACAAACTGGGGCTCCTCTCGCACTCCGTGGGCACCTGGGACACAGAGTTTATACAAGTCAGGCTAAAACAACCAAGATTTGGGATTAAGCACCTATCTTAGTAATCTACCCCTCTGTGGCGATCCACAACTTGAGTAATAATTTTACTCGAAAATCTTTTTTTTATATAGTTCAGGGGTGCCTGCAAACAAAAATGCTGAGTGGGTAGTGACTTTAGAAAGCTACTAGCCACAGTCACTACTAAAAAAGTAAATGTCAAACCCAGATAAAAACACATAGAAAAATCCTTTCTCATTTTCTTAAGAATTTCAATAACTTCCAGTTTGGTGTGGTTGGTATAGAGAATTAACATGTAGCCCAGGTCAGCTAAACATCACCTTCTATTTCACATTGTCAGAGAAAATCTAAGTTTTATTATGGTAATTTTTGCCATCAAAGGGGACCTTTAGTAGTTGCTGGTGTAGATTCTCGGTCATCCAGGTCATAAACGGAATTTCTTTTTGTTTTACACTTGTGTAAACAAAAAGACAAATAAAATCTGTCTAAGTCTAATAATCATTACAAAAAAGTTGGAATGATTATGGAATGTTGTTGGAATGTCGGTACTTCACACATGGATATGCAGAGCCCTGTCTGCTGCAGACTTTCTAATGTTATCCCTGGCTGCTGCAGACGGGATAACATTAACCCTGGCTGCTGCAGATGGGCTAACGTTATTCCTGGCTGTTGCAGTAGGGCTAACGTTAACCCTGGCTGCTGTAGATGGGCTAACGTTAACCCTGGTTGCTGCAGACGGGCTAATGTTAACCCTGGTTGCAGCAGACGGGCTAACGTTAGCCCTGGCAGCTACAGACGGGCTAACGTTAACGCTGGCTGCTGCAGATGGGCTAACGTTAACCCTGGTTGCGGCAGACGGGCTAACCTTAGCCCTGGCTGTGGTTAGTCTTGGAGCTTGGACAAGTCTGCTCTGATGCATGCTGGGTAAATAGGGAGGGGCCAGAACAACATCTGGGGACTTTGTCCGTTCTCAGTCTGTTGTTCTGGTGAATTGGAACAGTGCTAGGGCTGAGGATGATGACGTTTCTTGAGCACAGGAGGAAGCACAAGTACACATAGTGAGGAATGGCCAGAGCCATCAGGGAGAGGCTACAGCTGGCTGGGACTAGCAATAGAAGCTAACAGAGGAGCACAGTGGCAGACTAGTTAAGTCTGTTAGGAAGACAGAACTTCAAGCTATGAACAGAAACTCTCCACATGTTCAGAGACACAGCCTCAAAATGGAACCGACAAGCAGAAGCTTCCTCAACCCAAGCTTTCCTCAATAAAAAAGAAAAAAAAACATTTGTGCAATGAGGATTGTTATAAAAATAGATATGACCTCTGGAAACAATGGAGTAGGTTAATAAGACCAAAAATACTCTGTTTTTCCAAGCTTCTCTGAGGAAGCAGATAAATGAGTCATTTTCCCAGCTGTGATGCCCCCTCCGCTACCCGCCAACAACCCCACTGTCACCTCACCTCTTTACACCCACACCAACGTATGAACACTCAGTCACACTTCCACAGGCTGCGCTACATGCTGATTGGCTGCTGGTGACATCATCAAACACTGCACAAAAAAACCAGGCCCCTTGGAAGGTATGACTTCACTGTTTGGACTTGATGAGATGAGGAGGAAGCCCGTGAGAGCAGAGGAATAGAAGATGAGAGGCAGAGCCAACCCCCCCACCGCCACCACAGCACAGCAAACAATAGAGCTTAGCTCATTTACAATCAAAGACTCTGGGGAGGATACGGTGAAACCACTGAGTCTCTGAGACGATCACGACACAGCACCTGGAGGGAGGATGGAGAGAGGGGGGGGTCGCTGGTGACTGATTTCAGGATTGTTCACTTATTCAAGCTCAACCAATCCTGTAACATCACCTGAGCTCTGCCATTGGCTCCAGGACTGGAGGCTTAACTACTGAGAGAAATGTGGATGTTATGCTGTGAGATGTGGAAACTCTGGAAGCTCCTCAGACCAGTTTAATGTTCCAGTACAGTGCTGACTGGACCGTCCGTTACCAGCAATACCAGAGAATCAACATTTCAAGCCAATAATGTTATTGGAATCTGGGACACGACCTTATTACCTTTGAAACATTCAAAAAATATGGATATTTTGATAGGAAAAAAATATCAATGTAATAACAAGGAACACCAACTTACCAGAATATATTAAGAAAAAATAACAAAATTGCTTCTATAAGAAACTCATGAAAAACACTCTGAGAGAGGAAGAAACATGTTTTATATGGTCCAACATAACCTTAGAGGCATTAATGCTGATACTGGTACTGACATTTTTTTAGTTTATAAACCTAAATATAATTGTTAACTGGGGTTGAATTTGTAACTTTAATTTTTACCTTTTCAATTAGCTTTTTACCTTTTTTCTTGACTTGTTTTTCAACTTAGTTTCCAGTAGGTAATATATCATTCAAGGGCTCATCTAATTACCGTAATCAAATGCCAAATGTCTACACCTTGGAGAGGTTCTCTCTCCGGTTCTGTTTTCCTTTAAAAAAGTTCACTCTGGACAAATCTTTAAATAACACTTCATAACGTTTATGTATTACATAACCAGGAGACATGGCAACAGATTCTAATAGAAATTCTAGTCTTACTCAGATGAGAGAAGTTGCTTAGAGTTACAGAAGGCAGCTGCTGACCAGCCGGGCTCACTTCTCGGGAAGTGACCCTGATGATCAGTTAAAGAGGCATTTTATACTAACTCCAGTCTGCCACATTATAGTATTTTACATCATACACTTTGGCAGATGAGTAGACATCATGGCTCCAGCCTTATCAAAATATGTTGTTAGCTGATGGACACCGCTCTCATTCCATTCCCAAATCTTTGCCACGAACAGAATAAAGATTATAACTGTATATCCGGACAGAGAAACTGTCTAAATTTGATAAACTTCAAGTTTATCAAATTCAATCAGTTCTGACATACATCAGGCAGCTAATATTAAGGTGTAATAAGCTCACACACCATCAATTATAATTATCCTAATAATACCACACTCCTATGTATTTAATTAACAATAAAACAAAAGTAAAACAAATTTTATTACAGTGATTTTAGGCATAACCAGAAAAAAAATACAATTTCATTTTTGTTTGGGAAGTGATAGCTATGCTAACTATGTAGGGGCAGTGATAGCCATGCTAACTATGTAAGGACAGT